TTGCTGAAAAGTCAATGAGTCGATGCAATCAGCTGGTTTTCCTTAGAAAGAAAACTTTGAATCAATCTGACTGGTGAACAGGAAAGTGCCTTGTAATGACGTGTTGTGAATTTGGCGCTATAGAAATAAACTGAATTGATTTGATTGGAGGACAGCGCTACAACTGAAGGACAGGGCTATGATTGGAGGACAGGGATAGCCCTGAAAAAAGTGTAACATGTAGCTGTTCATTCAAACTAATGACTGTTACTGTAAACACAATAAAATTATCAATTTGATTGTGTTACTCATTCTTTTTGGATTTTGAGACGTCAAGTTTGATTTAACCTGAACTAAATGCACGTACAAAGGATCCAAAACAAAGTTTTTGATTTCTCTCAATATGTATATATTTATTCATGACCTGCAGGTAATTTCTTTTGTATGAGTCAAATGTGAATTGTGCTTTGCACGCTGCAGTCAGAGCACGTGATCAAGTCCAAGTCCCAGACCGTGAGAGAGCGCCATTTTCATCGTCTCTACATCCTGGGTGGATTACTCCGATAAATAAAAGCAATTAGGAAAAGTATTTGCATATAATCAATGTTATACCTGGCTAGTTAAGTAGTTAATATTAGCTAGAGGGTTTACGCATTTACCTGATAACATTATGACAATGAATCGCTAACGTTATCTAGCCAAAAGCCCTGGCTTGTTCCACCGGGCTACATCCAGAGCTAAACAAACATTGCTTGAAGGTTCAGTGTGGAGTTTAGTTGGAGTTAAAGGCTGGATACCCGGCCGTCACTTGCAGTGGGAGCCTCTAGTGTTATAAAGAGCAGTACTGGTTAGCGTGTTAGCGACGGACGCCAACTGCTACCACTTGCTAAGGTTAGTTAACGTCAATCTGCACCACCTGGATTTACACCATTTGAGGCTATATTAACAATTAATACATATATTTGAAGTAATCTGTTGGCCAGGTGCAGAATTATTGTTTACATGAACATAAAATAATCAGGTCATAATAAGTGATTAAATTCAGATTTGTGAAGTTTTTTTTTTTTAATGTGATATCGGGCATAATTTTTTTTATTTAAGCATGGTTATACTTTTTACAGTGTTGCTAGGGTCAACTTACACTGATCACAGCCAACCTGCATCTATATTTTCCAGATAAATCACTGATGATGGAGCAGATTTTCAGGAGACCCTTGCTAATGAAGCTACACACATATGTAGATTAAATTAATTTAAGCTTCTACATAGTATACACATTGAAATGGTTTGTTGAACTTTAAGTTGAATTACATAGAAGGCTGCTAAATGACTACAGAGACTAATTGTACCCCTTTAAATATGAAAGCTTATTAATAAAAGAGCAGAACACAAAAACCCACAGAACCTGTGGTCCAGAAATAGAGTGCACAGAGAGCATGCTAAAAGAGAATCAGAACCGAACCTCTGATCCCAATTATTTCTTCTATGATTTGACAGTAATACAGGATAACAGAAGCCAACGCAACCCTACAGCTAACCATGAGCCTGCGGTCACATTTTAGGGAACCGGTCAGCAGAAGTGAGAAACTCTTCACACTCTGTTGGGTTTTTCATTTCATAAACAGTGAAATGACATCAGAAATATCTCAGTGAGCGAAAAGCATTCAGCTGCTGATGGAGGATCACTTCCAGTTATGGAATCCCACTGATGCTTCTCTACTAACCCACCTGGCGATCTCAGGCAGGGTTCTCTTGATGCACTTCAGGGTCTTTTTCATCAGAGAGGAGTTCTGCAGAAGGAAGAATGGTCGAACAAGCCGTCGTACTCTCAGTTTCTAATTGAGAAGAAAGGATATTTTTACCAAACAGAAGCAAAGTCCTCAGTTAGTGCATGTGTTTATAATATTAATGACATTTCTGGGACAGATGGATGGTTAAAACAACAAAAGAACAGCCTGGCACAGAGGAGAAAGTCTAAAAAACAAAGTTTCCAATTTAAATAAGAACAGAAAATCGTCACTAAACCTTAATAAGTCCTCTGAATAACTTTGAACTTAGTGAAGAAAATGTTTTTCTGATCTCTTTACTGAGGCTAGGGATCCTTGGGACAGATATTAGATTTAATCCTAGGTTCCTAGAATTTCTAAAAGTAGAATGGGAGGCAGATCTTTTAGTTATTAGGCTCCTCTCCTGTGGAACCAACTAGCAGTTTTAGTCTGTGAGGCAGACACGCTGTCTACTTTTAAGGCTAGGCTTAAAACTTTCCTTTTTGATAAAGCTTATAGTTAGAGTGGCTCAGGTTATCCTGAGCTATCTCTATAGTTATGCTGCTATAGGCTTAGACTTCTGGAGGACCTAGGGACCCCTTTTTCCGTTCTGCCTGTGGAGGGGGCGGGTCTTTTGAAATATTTGCAAAAATCCCCCACTATAATTTTAAGTTCAACTCAAATCTACATCTACATGGTGAAAACCTGTGGATTAGGTAGGATAGACATTAGCATTAGCATTTGGCTTCTGGAACAGCACTGGATTCAACCCTTTTTAAATTATATTGATTTTAAATAAATTGAAGTCTGTTATAAAAATAAAACAACAATATACATGAACTCTACCATAAATGTGTTGTGGTAGATAGTAAAGAATTACAAATTTTTTGTGGGCTTAAATATTATTTGTTTTTTCAACAACTTTCTGAGGAACGTCTATCATTTATCAGAGGGATGGGGGATCAGTGAGGCGGTACATAACCAGTCTATCATCACAGAAACGGCAGGTCATTAACTAAAGACTCAAGTCAATATTATGTTTGATAAATGAGTCGATGTGAAGCTCTCAGCAGAACTGTTTATAGTTGACATCCTTTTTATTAAGGTTTATAGCTTAATTTGACGATTTACCTCATCACACAGCATGCTGATGGATAGCACCCAGTCAACGATGGACACACAAATAACCACAGTGTAGCTGATTAGCCATTTACTCTTTCTGAATTCCTCCCAGCCAATCAGGTAGCTCTGAGTGGAGAAAGGGAAAAAATGAACAAACGTTAGCAAACAATGCCAATGTGCACCTTGGAGCTTCTCAAACAGCTGCTACAATCCGGTCTTTACTTTGACTGCCAGATCGAAGCAGAAGACGATGATGCAGAGCATCTCCACACTCTCTGTGGCGCCACAAGGAGGCTCATATGGTACCAATCGGTGGTGGGGATCCGAGGAGACCGAGAGTGACGAAGGACGCTCTACGAATGCCAGCAACAACACAACTGCAATGATGGTCCCCAGGATCCTGAAACAGGAACCATGGGAAATGTCTATGGATAGGGCCACAGCATACTACAGCTTTCTTTGCTTTTATGGTTTCAATGATTAACTTTAGATGTCTGAGTGAAAGTGGGCTTCATGCATAATGATCTAAATCTTGTCCTCTTAGATCTTCAGGAACCTTGGAAAGCAGGATAATGTCACCCCATTACAATGTCCCCAACATGTCCACTATGAAGCTTGAGAAACACATAACCAGTCACCTGTCAGAAGATTACTAGCTCCGTGACTGACCAGGAACAGTAAGCAGTTAGAGCCACTGTTAAGTTGAGGAGCAAAGCCAGCGCCATTGATATATCTGTGAAGATTCTCAGTCATCCAGGTCATCGTCAAGCTTGACAAGTTCAGTTTAAGCAACTGGATGTGGAGTTTTCTAGAAGACGTTTCTCCTGCCATCCGAGAGGATTCTTTGGTTCTAACTAGTGGTGGGGACCACTGAGATTGGCCAATCGAGTAGGAGAGATACCATTTGTTCCCCCTAATTCTTTGTTCTACCTAAAGTATATCAATCTCAATTATCCCCACCATTAGTTAGAACTAAGGAACTGGTCCAGTCAGTAGCTCTTTTTGGTACAGTCAGTAGCTCTTCTGGTACGGTCAGTAGCTCCTCTGTTACAGTCAGTAGCTCCTCTGGTACAGTCAGTAGCTCCTCTGGTACAATCAGTAGCTCTTTTTGGTACGGTCAGTAGCTCTTCTGGTACAGTCAGTAGCTCCTCTGGTACAGTTATTAGCTCCTCTGGTCCAGTCAGTAGCTCTTTTTTGTACAGCCAGTAGTTCCTCTGGTCCAGTCAGTAGCTCTTTTTTTTACAGCCAGTAGTTCCTCTGGTCCAGTCAGTAGCTCTTTTTTGGTAGTCAGTAGCTTTTCTGGTACAGTCAGTAGGTCCTCTGATAAAGTTATTAGCTCCTCTTGTACAATCAGTAGGTCCTCTGGTACAGCCAGTAGCTCCTCTGGTACAATCAGTAGCTCCTCTGGTACAATCAGTAGGTCCTCTGGTACAGTCAGTAGCTCCTCTGGTACAATCAGT